ATATATTTACTAAAAAAAATACATCCGGTTATTGACCTGTAATTTTTTTTTTGTTTCGCGGGTTACAAGGCCAGAAGAAACAGATTGTCGACTTAATAACATTTGCGGTCTACTCCATGGAAACCAGGCACCGCTTTTGTCTGTCCTCCTTATGCGACACCCGAGTGGATTCTGCATCTTGAGCAGGGGTTGCTCAATGAATTCATATTCTTTGCAAGTAGAATATAGAACAGGAGGTCATTGGCCAGATTGGAAAACAACCCAACCACTCCCCACCCGGAACTTTAATGTAGTCCTTTCTTCACGTCATGGGAAAGATGGAGAGCACGTGATTAATTTCTTTATCGGCAAGAGAGAATTGAGAGAATCTTTGAGCAAGTTAGCATCTTAAAGACGGGAAGAAAAAGTCTGGGCTGCGCTAAAGAAGGAATTGGACTATCAATCATTACTCCAACTTCCACTGGAACAAGGATAAATTATGTACTCTGTTCAGGTAATATATGCACAAATTATAACTATTGATCTTTGGCTGATGTAACAAAACACTGCAAAATTTCGTAAGTCACAAACGAATTTTATATTAATATCAAAACAAGATGTAAAAATTTTAATTTAAAGTGGGAAAAAGAGTGATGCGATTCCCAGCTGGGTGGGGAATTTTGTGCATTAAAATGTCGAGAGCGACTTGTACTTCGAGTGGAAGAGAGAGGGATGAATGCAATTACTACATCAACTGTAAATGGTAACGGAAGTATTTGGTGGAATATCTTCTTCGGGATCAACTTTATGAATTCAAATAGCCTGCGAGCAGGCTTACGTTGGAGCACAAGCGCGCAGAGTAGCCGCGAGCGCGAAATCGAGCCGCGAAGCCGCGAGACGGCGCCTCTTCACCAGACTCCTTCCCGCCGGATCGCTTTACTCTTCGCCGCTTGCGCGCGTAACTCACACGTGACCTGCTCGCAGCCTATCTCAAATAGTAAGTGTAATTCCATTGGTTATTGACCTGTAATTGTATTTTTGCCTCGAGGTTCGCAAGGCCGGAATATACGTATGCCATCTGTGTCCCACTCCATGGAAAGCAGGAAAATGGTTTTTGAGTCCTTCCTGGGTCAAATTTAGAAGTGAATTATGCAAATAGCGCTGCATAATTTTTAAATATTTTTCGCACTTTAAAATATACCAAAGTAAATGTTAGATCTTGGGTTATTTAAAAAAGAATTGTACCCTTTCATGTTAAAAATGTAATAATAATAAAAAATAAAAAATAAAAAATAAAAACAATATCAATAAAAGAAGAAAATAAAGGACCCTGACAGTAAAACTGCTCTACACTTGACGCCAACTTGTTTTTTTGTTTTGTTTTTGAAGAAAGCGGTGTTGGAAATTGAAAACAACTTCGGAAGTCCGGGCACGGTGGAGTCTTCAGCTCCTTTCACTTGTCAAAGCTATCTCTTCAGTCCGATACCCGTTTATACATAATTTTCTTGATGAAAATAGTATTCAGTTTGGCAGACATTGGACGCATGGTAAAACCCGTACAGTCAAAAAAATCAAAAAAT